TGCCGCAAATTACGTCAAATGAAATGGGAATTTTTTTTGTCACATGTATTGTTCACACCCAAATGACCTGCCAAAGGAGGTTCATGAGCCAAACTTAAAACATGCTTTTGATACCAATTTGGAAGAACAATTTGATGGAAAACGTTCCATTTATTATCAGCAGGCACATCTGGTAGCCTCCATCCTTGAAATGATAGCAAACTGGAATATTGTCAGCTTCTTCTGATGAGAGTGCCCTTTTGGCAAGAATTTTAAGTTATGGGTCTTCCTCCTGTAACTTAACTAATGCTCCCTACCTAGAACTGGTTCCTCAACAGCCAAACTGTCAGATTTTTTAGTACTCAGGTCAAGAGAATGACCCATAAGAGTGCAAACACACGAAGAGAAATACCTTGAAATTATTTCTCAAGATTTTCTATACTTTCCAAAGTGCTAGGCTCAAGACAAACATCTCCCCCCTGCAAAAATATTGCCCAATAAGCAAGTCTACACCTTTAACAGTTAGAGTTTCTACCACCCCAACCTGACCAATCCAGAAACCAAATCTGTATTCAAATTCACAAAATGCAGAGGTGCTATAGTAAAACCACAAAATCCCTTTAACAAAGTCTCAGAGGTCTCAGATGACACCTCAGAAAGTGGCAAAATGCAGTCCAAAATCAGAGCACACCAGTATCCCTCACAGGGTAGAACTTGACTTTTTGTCAACAAACTCAGAACCAGATTTGTTAGAACTAGATAAGATGAACTATCCTTACCTGATTTGTAACCCTGCGAACGTCTGCCTGTAAATCCTGACTGCTTAAATCTAACCCTGTGAATTACCGAATAATCATCAGCCAAAGTAGCATCCTTGTGTAATTTTCTGCTCATCGAGATATGCCCGTTGAAACACACTGCTTAAAATCCTACATCAAAACAAACTGCCTCAAATTATCACCATTGACCTCCTTTGAACTCCACCACCTATCACTGTTTCCGTCTCCCTTGCATCAAGAAAAGTAGAACCATTCCTTTTCTGACCTAAACTTCAGGAACCAATTCATAAGTATTCAAAACTTCAGCTGTAACAACATGATAACCAGCACTCCTATCACTAGAGGTAAGGCAGAGTAAACTTTCTGAGCTTTTCCCCCAAACACAATTTGCAGCACCATGGTCCCTTTCTTGCAGCTATTTCTAACTGTTAGCCACCTTTTCAAAATGTAGGAAAAGCTTCTCAACATCACATTCATATAAGGGCGGAAGAAATCTAATCTGCTTGAAAAGATCAAACAATTCATCACCTGTTGGGGTAAGGTGAGAGCGGTCATTCTGTAAATCATATTGCTTTAGCTAAATTTCTTTATCAGCTTTAATTTCTAATTGCTTAATCCGAAATTCCCTTTCTTCTTTTCTCTCTCCTTACTTCCCAGCTTCTAATCTCAATTTGTCATGTTCAGGCTCAATTCTCAATATTTTCAATTATACCGGACACAAGCATCTAAAAATCGTAACTTCCTGACAAGTGATCACTGGTACAATACAATGGGCGTCTGTCGATTGCCAACAGCTACAATCACTGACAAACGATAAAATCCACTACCATATAACAACATATTCACAAAAGGTATTTGAGACATGTAGAATTAATACCATGTGAATTCTTTAAATCCCCAAATTATTTGCTTGACTTTTTCCACCATCTGACCTTTTTACCACACAAAATATATTTGAAAAATATATGCCTGAAGGCCCTTGATATTCTGAAAGTCATTTCAAATTCAAAGTGCGGAGGGATTCAGAAAACCCTCCTCCAACTGTACAGAGCACTTATCCGCTCTAAACTGGATTATGGCTCCATTATCTATGGATTTTTACAGACGGATCCAAGGATGGTGACGCTATTGCCAGCGTAACCGTAACCGTCATTGAATCCAGGACTATGTCTTCACGACTACCACATAATAGTTCCATTTTACATCCGAATCCCATGCCTTTTTAACAGCTCTAAAATATATTGATAAACAATCTAAGGATAAACAATTTATATTATTTTCGGACTCTCTCTCGTGTCTTCGGACTATAAATAATATATCATGTAAGCATCTACTTTTAATCCAAATTGTTTAATTTTATAATTAACCTGCTACTGGCCAATATGACCTCGTTTTTTGTTGGTTACCCAGCCATGTTGGAATCATTGGTAAACACAATGGCTGATGCTGCTGCTAACTAAAGCAGCACTCACAAATCTGTGACGCCACTTCTCATTCCGTACAGTGATTACGAACCTGTCGTTAGATTTTGCATAAGAGATCTCATGCCGTTACACCAATGAATATCTATTGAAAGGTAAGGATCCTCCGTTCTGCATCCCTTGTGATGAGAGAATCACCGGCTAGCATGTCCTGATTGACTATGTTGATTTTTCCATCACAAGGGATAAATATTTCAAGGTTTCATCTATTAAAGATCTTTTTAATAATATTTGTTCTCATTTAATTTTTTTAAGAAATAGAATTGTATCATAAATTTTGTTAAAATTAGTAGAATGAATTTACCTCGAAGGAGGTAAATAATCGCCCCCCCCCCCCCCCCCCCCGAGAGGATATCGTAAGTCCATGTCATTAGAAAAATATTTACATCTACTATGCTTTTAAACGTAGAATGTTTGTCATTTTAAGTGTGGGAAACGTACGTACAATCGCCAGCGACTAAAGGGATGGTGTTAATCCTGCTGTGGCCCATGCAGGTAGAAAATGTTTCAGAAAAGCATTTGATCTTGATCATTCAAATTTAATGTTGACAAAAGTACTGAATTTATTTACACTTCATCTGTCCGTCAAGGGTGCACGTTGTCGCCCGTTCTATTTGTGACGTATGATAACGAGTTATTGTGTATTACAAGAACATTATGAACATGGCACATTGATAGATTGTGATTTTGAGGCTATTTTTATATTATTGGATGCGGATGATTTCATCATGTTTGGAGATAGTATTGTTACCTTACAAAGTAAAATAGATATATTGAGCAGATATTGTGATAAATATAAATAAAACAATAATAACTGTGTTAGAAAGTGGTGCAACACTCTCATGTTTTAATTATGGTTGTAATGTTGAATTAGTATCATATTATAAGTATTTGGGAATAATGATTTAATGTAGAATTATTGTCACTCAGGCTTGAACCACATTAGCTAAACAAGCAGAAAAAGCATTATGTACATTAAAAAGATTTATGTATAACTTGAAAAATATCCACAAACAGTCCACAAACACCTTTTGTATTATTTGACAGTTAAACCAATTTAACTTTACTGTACTGAAATCGGTGTCTATTAGTCAAGGAAATAGGTAGAAAAGGTTCCAAATCAATTTTAAAAATTCATATTTGATGTGGAATATAGAGCCTCCTTACAAGAGAGAGCTTTGTCTGATTGGGGACGGTAACCTATTTCTGTTGACTGTTAAGATATTGGATAAAGTTATTATGATTTGACAATAGTATGTACGCCAGACGATGTTATCTAATGCTTAAAACAATATGATAAATTAAATGAATCTAAATTGGGTATCACAACTTAGAATGTTGCGGATTTTCACATGTGAGGTTTTTTACGTTGGCGACATACATTTGCAGGAATAGCAGTATAAAGAATATAAAACTTTGCCACTATGTGAATTATATTTAATAAATATAAGTGCCTGCAAGTTACGAACAAATAATTTACAGAAGCATAGACGTTCCACAAGGAAAGACCTGTCTTTAGCTAGTTCATCCCAGAGGTGTTCGATTGGGTTGAGATGGTTCCTGACAGTCTGGTCCGATATCCTCCTCAAACCAGGGATGCGTCCTGCATGTCTCCGTAGCTGTGACATTGCGATGACGTTGGTGGAACAGTCGCATGGAGCGATCCTGTGCAGGGGAGGTAACTCTTGGTCGGTCGGTTCTCGGACGGTCTGCAGTGGAATTGAACAGTGTGTATCGGTCACAAAGGCGCCAAATGGTGCTGTGGTGGACGTTGACGTGGCGTGCAACAGAAGACTGCGATTCCTCTCTTTGGATACCTCCTATCGGGTCTCGGCATTTTCGAACTTGAACAATGTTGACAATTGATTGACAAATTATTGGCTTATGCTTGCCTTTTTATAGCCACTACCGCGAATAACGAATGACATAACTTGCGCGTGCATTTTGCTTTACTGTTATCCTCCATGACATTTTTGAACAAGTGTGAAAACAATGCCGTTTAGACATGGCAAATCGACAATGGCTGCGTTTTGACGCACCATGTGTCCAATATCAGGCCACCAACACTTTCCAATAACATATATCCAATTTATATACCGAATTTTTTGTGTTGTCAGGTTCAATGAACTACAAACTACCTGTGCGTTTCTTTGAAAAGTGTAAAACAAAAATATGATGTTTTAACTGAGTTTAAGTGAGTGAGTATGGTTTTACGCCGCTTTTAGCAATATTCCAGCAATATCACGGCGGGGGACACCAGAAATGAGCTTCACACATTGTACCCATGTCGGGAATCGAACCCTGGTCTTCGGCGTGACGAGGAAACGCTTTAACCACTAGGCTACCCGACCGCCCCACTGAGTTTAAGATAATTAAGTCAAGACATGCTGCATAAATATTATGTGTAACTGTGTTTACTTGACGATCTGTAACATGACACTGTTGAAATCCACCGAATCGTACTGCGGGCCTCAAGACCTAGAATTCTCAATTAATCAGTCTGTCCGTCTGTCTGATACACGTTATCTTAGCTTGCTCAAACCAAAGACATACCTTCAACCTAAATGTAATTAAATAGTTTCATTAATATTTTTTTTTACAGTTTCGCGTGTACATGGGAATAACCTGAATTCAATAGAAGACATCTGACGAACTAATTAACTAATGAGGCTGTGGTAGAGAAGCACTATTGCAGACTTTTTTCTGTTGATTTTTCAAACGCAAAAATATGTGCTTTCTAATTGTCAGGTCTCTTTTGCAGAGATCCCGTGGTGAGATATGTTACAAAGAGGAGCGTGAAGACAGGAGTCTGAAATGGAAACTATTGCATGCAACGAAACATTGCCGGTGCTTACAGGTTACCCAGTGAGGCCAGTGGAGACTATAATCGGACTGCTGGCATTCTTCAGTTTGCTGGGTACAACCGGCAATGCTTTGGTTTTGTATGTTTATACAAGAAAGCGGAACAAGCTGCCTTCAACAATCTTTATCATTTCTTTAGCAGGAACCGATTTGAGTGTTTGCATTATTGTTATGCCATATACAATGACTGTTGAATATCTGGACTATGAAATCAAGTACGATATTTTGTGCAAATTGTATTTGTTTTTGATAACGTCCAATGTGCCATTCTCGGCTTTCATCATGGTCGCGATTGCGGTGGATAGATATATTTGCATTTGCCATCCCCACTGGCATGTGCTGGATACGAGAAGAGCCAAACTTATACTTTTTTCGTTGATTGTTTTTTCAATGATTCTTGGAATCATCACCGCATTAGCTTATGGCGTGTACCAATACAGTACAAAGATTGACGAAGCACAATTATTCGATCGCAATTCTACATCAATGACAAGTTTAAATGGGACCAATGCCAAAGACACAGATCTGTGTATCAACAAACCAGAGCACGCCAATTGTACCGAAATAGCCGAAAATAGCATAAATTGCACCGATGATGTTCCCTTATGGCAATTCGTTGATTACACCGGTGTTTGCAATCCAAACCAACTTATTTTTACCAGAACGTTTCGAAAAACGTACCAGAAGCTCTATGCTGGAATGTTTCTAGTTGCTTTTATTGTTGTGTTTGTACTTTACATTCTCATCTACAAATCGGTTCTTGAGAGGAGATCTAAAAAGATGAGACAAAGACGTAAAACCCAACTGTCTCTGTATAGAGAAACGTCAATGACCGAGACTCACTTAACGATGGCAAACGGAAGTTCACGAAACTCGGTCACGAGAAGAGAGAGCAAAAAGGCCATGCTGGACATGGACGGGTGCATTAAAGAAAAATACTGGCTAGCTAACATTAGAACGGCGTTAATGTTGTTTGTGGTAACACTTGCTTTCATTATAGCATTCCTGCCGTCTTGGCTGATGGCGCACAGAGTGGTGCCTTTCAATCCCATTGTGTTTTACCTTTACTTTGCATATAATGTTTCGAATCCTATCATTTACGCCTTTATGAATCCAGCATTCCGGCGTGAACTTAAGGATTTGATCAGCTGCATGAAATGTAAAGACATATGACGCTATCGGTGACATGTACTTGTACCTGTTGACAAAGTTTTGAACTTATGAACAGTGTATTGTAAATCATGTGGTCGTTTTTCTACTATACACATTTCTTTCAGCGACATCTTGTATTGCCTTCTGTTGGTTATTCTTGGAATTTCATAATTTAATTATAGTCACTATCCCGCCTTTGAATTTTAAGGTCAGTCAAAATGGTCACCTCGTTGCCATGGACATAGCAATTTAATGTGTCATTACATGATAGAAATTGCAATTATAATTCCCCTGAATGCGTTTTCTGATACCGCCTCTGTGGTCTTGTGGATAAGTGTCGGCCCGGAAAGAGGAAGGGCCAACGTCGGAGGAATATCATCATCAGTTAACGGATTCGAGCCGACATCAAGCCGATGTCGAGCCGATATCGTGCCGACGAGTGCTAACTTACAGCTGACTAATTTTTAATTCTAATGATAATTAACAAATATTTGTGCTATATAATTTATAGGAATACTTTATGTCCCTGAATACACTGTTTCCAACATCATTAATAATCATTTATTTATAAATAAAACTCCATAGGACACCTGAAACCAAGGAGCATTCGGGCGACTCGTGTCATTCCGGGATAGGTCGAATGGGAAGGATTTCATGTTGGCGCAGTGACATCAGAACGACTTCAAACAAAAACGATAACTCTTTTTTTTTTCGAGTCCAGTAGTAATAAAAGTAACAGTAGCACTCGCATATTGCTGTTCATGAAAGCATAAGGCTTCTTTGATATATCAAAACAATATTACAATTATTTGTTGAAAACATAATGTAACGTGATTTATCTCAACTGTTCATCTTCTATTCCCAAATGTATATTTCTAAATACGATTTTGAAGTGAACAATTTACAGTGAAAAATATGTTTATTAAATTAAATCAACTTCCTCAAATTTCATGAACATTTAAGAAGATTTTTTTCTGCTTGAATGGGCAATTAAAGCAAATTTGTTGTATAACTGTAATAAGCCGAAATGTACGTTCAAATATATAAGTATCCAGTTTTGTTATTTAAACTATTCAATTAATTACATTATTTTTCCGTAAACCAATTCAGTCAGCATGTATTGCTATATACTAATAAAGTTATCTTTTATACTAATGAATTTAGAACTTTCAGTCTGCTCGTGTAATGTTAACGAGATGGGGCGGTGTGAGTCCGGCTCAGTTGATGAATTCACTGGTTTAAGAAATGGCTTCACCATGGCTGATTTCAAACTTGTGTGGCGAAGACCAGAAATCCAAATGTTGTTGTATAGTTGAAGTCATAACTTTTTAATTGGGTTTGGGATGTGGTTGAGTATTGTGTAGCTAAAGATATCTATTCCTGTGGCTGAGACTGTGTTGTTCGGTTTAGAGCTGTTTGCAATTCATAAGGTTATGTATAACATGTTGGTTTTGGGGGTATATTTCGAGATTATATTATTTCATTTGAATTTAACTCTATGCTTGGTGGAGCGGACTATGACCGAGAGGTGTGCAGCTATTGCGTTGAAATATTAGATTTGGAATGTCTTTTCATTACGTTGAATATTTTCCATAATGGTATTTTGTTTTCCAAGTAATAAGTAGCACAAAAGGCTAGCTATATCCAATGTTTATTCCTAATACAGAACATTCACCATTTCCAAACACACTCGCGTGATAGCCTGTTTATTTGTTCATATTAAAATTTATGTAAATGTAATAAGACATTGGAGTATCATGTCTCGATGGTCGGCCCATGTGCAGTTTACACTCGCATTTAATGTATTTTTATTCTGTACAGCGAGTGACCCTCTAATAAAAAAACTTCTTCTTCTTCTTCTTCTTCTGTAAATTGGATATCTGAAACATGGTTCCACGCAGGTATACATGACAGCGAGATAATAATACTGGTTTCCACGTTCAATATAAAAAGGAGACTCGAGGGTGTGTCGTAGCTATATACTAAGAGATGATCACACACACACACACACACACACACACACACACACACACCAATCGTCGGGGATAAGGACAAGCCCGTTATAACAGGCGAGGACATTTCTAAACTCAAGGACGTGGTCGAGATCAAGTTGAAGATGGATAACAACGCTTAAATAAAAAAGACTATAGTGAGGGGGAAACACAACAATAAAACCGAAAGAGAGTGAGTGAGTATGGTTTTACGCCGCTTTTAGCAATATTCACGTCGGGGGACACCAGAAATAGACTTTACACATGTACCCATGTCGGGAATCGAACCCGGATCTTTGGCGTGACGAGCGAACGCTTTAACCACTAGGCTACCCGACCGCCCAATGTACTGAAAGAAGCATTACTGAAAAGCATTATTTAATTTCTGGAGGCTACAGGCGATATTGGGCACATAACTCGTGATTATTTAATCGGTACTGTTTATCGTGCAGATAAGAGTGAAGCGTATTGGGAAATGAATTTTCTAAATTTCCAATGCTTGTGGTGCATGGCCTTTCATTCATTATTAGAGTACCTACGAGGATCACCCAATATTCCAGTACGTTGATAGATTTATTTTTTGGGGACAGAGGTTGATAGTATAACGAAGCTGTGTTCCTGAGAACAGTGTGTCATTAATTAAGAATAAAGAAACCATAAAAAAACGTGGTGAAAGTTCACAGTTGTATTATGATAAGTTAAATGTGACTAAAGAGCGGCAATCTAAAAGTTCAAGACCCCGATTGGCACTGACAATGATCACTAATTATTAAACTAGTACACATATACAAGCTGATCAGCTAAGCAACTGTATAACCGCTATTATAAAAGATAGCTAAATCAACACTGACAATCGACGCAGTCAATTGAAGTATATTTATAGGCTTCAGGCCAGATACAAACCGTAACACAGTATACAATGCGCGGTTCATCAGTTCAGATGAAACAAGACTGGAGACTTGTTCCCCTTCCAATTCCAACCCACCCACCCCACTAGTTGCCAAAGTGTACACATAATTACAAATATTTTCACATCTTGATCATATGAATTCTTTCTTCCATTCATAATGTGGCACACACACTTTGCCAATGGAATTTGCCATTCATATTAGTAAATGAAATAATTACATAGTATACATACGTTAATATTAGTTACATGAACATGAAAGTACTATTTCATCAACCCAATCATAGCCATTTTAAGTTTCAGTGAAAGGAAAAACAAATCAAAAATTGATATAGGCATGCTAACACACGTGGTATTATAAGTCTGTGAGTGACACTTTTGTAGTCAGTAGGAGAAATTAAATATTGATGTACCGCTTAGGTCCCAATTTTGCAAAAAATTCAGCGTTCCGATGAGTTCCGATGAAAATTCACCCGACATCCTCTTTTTTGGGTCCCCGTTTTCCGTAAAATTCGATAGAGTTCCAACACTGATCAACTTCTTCGCAACGCTGCAGCCTTGGGCTGTGTTTTTTATGCTCCAGCAACAAACTATGCATCAAGATGCAGGGAGAGCCGTGTGGCTGAGCAGTGATTGGGGCCTGAATAGGCCTATCCTCCGTCTCTGCATCTTCAGGAGGAGGCACAGTGGAGTCTTCTGGCACTTGAGATTGTTGAGGAGTGCTGGGTGGTCTCTTCTTTGCCTTCTGTCCTCCAACATTTCTGTGCTGTAGTGTCCGTTGAAAATCTGCGAAGTGAGTGTAGGCTGACCCTCCTTTCGGAGTCCGTTGGTCATCATATGTCACCGCTTGCTATGTGATATGTGTCGGATGGCAGTTGAGTTAATGAGCGATTACCCTCTGATGTCACAACGGATAGCAATCGGACGGTGCTAAATATTATGTTAACCTCCGATGAGAATCGAATTGGTGATGAGCGGCTATCAGGCGCGTCGGGCAGACCGCAGATTGCAATCAGATGAGCGCCAGATGACTGTTAATATCGGACTCATATCAGATTACCGTCAGACGTTGGTTAGACACGTCCGAAAGTGGCAAAACACGATTCTGACAACACATCGGACTGACTCGATTTGCGACCGGAAATGGGGTCCGATGGCGATCTAAGCTCTGAGCTTAGTTCCTTCATCGGACGATTTCGCCTCATCACTGACCTGATTGTCGACAAGCACAAATCGGATTCACCGGAGTGTGATGCGATACTCTTCGCTTGGTTACCGGAAGTAAAAAACTTTGCTTCCGATGAGTGACCGATGAGCCAAAATTCTCTGTGGAATGGAATACATTCATACCCCCATTCCACAGATAATTTAGGCTCATCGGTCATTCATCGGAAGCAAAGTGTTTTACTTCCGATAACCCACCGAAGACTATTGTATCACACTCCAATGAATCCGATTTGTGTTTGTTGACTATCAGGTCAGTGGCCGACGTGTCGGACGTGATCCGATGAGGCGAAATCGTCCGATGAAGGAACTAAGCTCAGAGCTTAGTTCGCCATCGGACACCATTTCCGGTCGCAAATCGAGTCAGTGTCGGATGAATGTCGAGTCAGTCCGATGTGTGTCAGAATCGTGATGTGCAACTATCGGACGTGTCTAGCCGACGTCTGACGGCAATCTGATGAGTGTCCGATAATTAACAGTCATCTGACGCTCATCTGATTGCAATCTGCAGTCTGCCCGACGCGCCTGATAGCCGCCCATCACCAATTCGATTCTCATCGGAGGTTAACATAATATTTAGCACCGTCCGATTGCTATCCGTTGTGACATCGGAGGGTAATCGCTCATCAACTCAACTGCCATCCGACGGTGACATCTGACGACCAACGGACTACGAAAGGAGGGTCAGCCGACACTCACTTCGCAGATTTTCATCGGACACTACAGCACCAAGATCCTGAAGATGGCTCCAAGAAAGAACAGAAATGTTGGAGGACAGAAGGCAAAGAAGAGACCTCCCAGCACTTTTTAACAATCTCAAGTGCCAGAAGACTCCACTGTGCCTCCTCCTGAAGATGCAGAGACGGTGGATAGGCCTTTTCGGGCCCCAATCACTGCCCAGCCACACGGCTCTCCCTGCATCTTGATGCATAGTTTGTTGCTGGAGCATAAAAACAAAGCCCAGGGCTGCAGCGTTGCGAAGAAGTTGCTCCATGTCTAGTACTGTCAGGAGGTGCAGCCCGCTTTTATACTCGACTGCCGATTTTATCGACAAATCCGGCCAGTATTGGATCAGTGTCCGATTACCCTACGAATAGTAACCGATGTGTCGGGTTGGTGTCGGGAGAGTGATGGAAGTGACAGATTAGTGTCAGGTCACCCTCGAATTACAATCCGACCGCAATCGGATCAATCGGACGCCGCCGATAAAAACGGCGGACAGACATCGAGCCGCTACCAGTCTTTCATCCGATTACCCCGATCAATGTTGGATCTCTATCGGATTTTCCGGAAAACGGGGACTCAAAAAAGAGGATGTCGGGTGAATTTTCATCGGAACTCATCGGAATGCTGAAATTTTTGCAAAATTGGGATCAGATGGGCTTCAGATCAGCTTCCGATGGTCAGTGGAATGGGGGTATCAGCAACCTATGCTTGCCGTATACGTAAAAGGCGACTGTGCTTATCGTAAGAGGAATCACCGGCTAACCGGATCGGATGGTCAGGCTTGCTGACTTTGTTGATACATGTCCTCGTAGATTATTTAGATCGATGCTCATGATATCAATCACTCGAATTCGCCACGGCTCGGGAAATACAATGTTTATTCCTAATACAGGATATCTACCATCCCCAAACACACTCGCGTGATAACTCTATTTATTGGTTATATCAATATATAAACAAGAACTTTATGATTTTGAATAATGAACGTGTAAATGTCAGTTAAAATTACTTACATGTTCCCGATTAAGCTATATATCACTTCGGACTGAACGAGTTTGTGTGTCTATATATATAAATAGCTAGGTCTTTGACTGTAAAATTCATTAATAAATTATTAAATTCATAACCTATTGTTAAATTTCAGTATGAAAATTTGGCATTCAAGCTATTTTATTATTGTTGAATACTTTCTTATTATTACAAGGATAAGTTTTAATTTTCACAAATACAAATGAAGCTGTTATCGACAGTTTGGTTTCAATCATCCACCATATCGATGTTGGCGAGAGCGGCAAACTTCCGATTGTTTGTCTGGAACGAATTACCGTGACCCGCGACTTTGACATGCCACGTCAGAGGTTACAGTTGCCCGAGTAAAACAAAATAAAGTTCGATGTTGTAATCACAAACAGTGTTAAATATAACATACAATGTAAATAATTATACAATATATGCTTTGATCTTTACTTCATGTTTTGATTATAGAGTCAGCGCTAAGAACACAAATGAAATATAAAAAAAACCGTTCGCCTCCCGCCGAGAGCATGAATATTCATAGGTATAAAAATAGCCCCACGTGACAGACTACACATCTTGGGCAAATATTTGTACAAGTATCACTTGTCCCCAACTTGATTCAAATAAAGCATTTTTTTAAATGTCTACATGTGGCCAGACCTACCCGTTCCTTTGCAAAAGTGCAGTAAAATTAATGGAAAAATATCTTTGTTAAAAATGATTTTTTTAAAAATATTATCTTGAAGGACACACCAGTTCACACATTTGGACCTGAAGCCATATTTTTAAAGAAGCATCATGTGTCAATTCTTATAGCCTGAATCTAAAAGGTCTAACTTATTTTCAAAAGTGAAAATAAATGAATTATATGTTTTATACATTTTAAATGGTATATGTTATTGATATATCATTATGATTGGAGATTAATTTTTAATGAAAATTGACCATCATTGTAAAGCTTT